CCATTTGTATGGCACAGTTGATCATTCTTATCTGCGGAAGGAGCGTGCCTGTGTCACTCCTAGCTAGATCAGTATTAGAAATGATCAGTGCTATGGGATAAATAACCATTGCTAGTCCTTAGAATCAACTAACTCACACGCTTTATCATATACATTGGCATCTTGGAATATTTTATGTCAACTGTTTGAATATATCTTTAGTATGTAATACACAACATTTTGCAAATATCAATGATCTGTCCCAAACTCATCATTGAACAGAATTCATTTTTATTAAACAACATAAGGACATCTGTGACATCATTCCGTCAGTCTAGGGCCCGGTGAATCGACTTTCAATGTCGATGAACCTTACTTGTTGAAACAGACACTCAAATCATATTCCATGGTGTCTTTGAAATTCTTGTCAAGAGAGGATCTCTCAAGGTACTCGGTACTATTAAACAACCAATCGTGTTCGCATCGATTTCTACAGGAAACAGATCGATGGCGATATTCAAGGATTCGAATCTGTCTCAGTCGATAATCAGTTCTGCTTATTTCTATGGACCGAAACCAGCAGTATAAACAGCCCATATCAACAGCAATTGCGTGAGAAACAACGGAGTGCTGTCGCTAGAATCTTCCTGGTTTCTTAATGGCACTAAAATTGGTAGTACAGTAAGAAGATGCTGGTATAATTTATTGTTAATAGTTATCTTTAAAATGTTCTTTTGTGAAACACGATCTGAAAGGAGTGTTGAAGTGTTTAGGGGTAGAAATTTGGACCCACCCACCCCCTCCCCCCACAGACCGTGACAGAGAAAATCCATATGGACCGCCCCCCCCACAGACCGTGACAGAGAAAATCTATATGAAATCCCCCCCCCCCCACCCTCCCACAGACCATGACAGAGAAAATCTATATGAAGCCCCCCTCCCACAGACCGTGACAAAGAAAATCTATATGAAAAAACCCCATACCCATCACAGACCGTGACAGAGAAACTCAGTACCCATCACAGACCGTGACAGAGAAACCTAATACCCTCACAGGCCGTGACAGAGGGGCCCCAAAGACCATCACAGACCGTGACAGAGAAATCCAATACCCGTCACAGAGCGTGACAGAGATATCGAGTTCCCATCACAGACCGTGATAGAGGGGCTCCAAAGACTATCACAGATCGGGACGGAGAAAATCCATACCCATCACAGACCGTAACAGAAACCCAGTACCCATCACAGACCGTGATAGAGAAATCCAATACTCGACACAGACTGTGACAGACAAATCCAGTACCTATCACAGACCGTGATAGAGGGGCTCCAAAGACCATCACAGACCGTGACAGAGAAAATTCAAATTCCTTCATTCACAATATAAAAAGCTCCATCGTGTTTCACATTTTTAATCCCGCAAGGGATTGCGCTAACAGCTTTTTCAGACGACAAGAACTCATTGTATTTTGGAAATGACATGTTGAAACCATCGCTCAATCTAGCTAATGTTCGTATTATTAACTCACAGCTGGTTTCTACGTATGGAAATGTTATAGAGTGGATGAACGCCACAAATACTTACATTGTGAATAGCACTATTCGATCAGGAGCTATAAATGTCAACACTCAGTTGTACTTATGTATTTTGCAGCACACAATTATAGAATTATCTAATACTTACCAATCGAAAATACAAATCGACGAATCTGATCTAACTAATGTTTCCATGACAATTTCATCGTATGATGCTTATAGCTCGATATAAAGGATTCGTCGTTCAACATTTACATTGGGATCAATAAACAATACCAATGCTGTTTGTCCTTTTCAAATTGAAGACTCAACATTAGTTGACGTCAAAATAATCAGTGTTTGTCCATTATATGGTGGCTGTTATGATTTTGCTAAAGTTCTCTGGCGTTCAACATTTCACAATGGATTACTTTCGTTAAAAAATTGTGCAGTCCCATTAATTGCATCGAGTATAACGCTCGCTGAATCACCTCTCTTGATGGCTGACTCTTCTGTCATTCGATATACTTCGATTTCACGCGTCATTGTAACAGGAATAAATGAGATAGGAATTGATATCGGCAGTGCTACGATCGCAAATTCGTCTATTTACAATTTTCGAATAGGACTACGTACACGTGAATCTTGCACGATTTCATCCAGTAACTTCTATAATAATTTTCTGTATAATATTGAAAATCGATCACCAGATGATATTCAAGCTAAAAACAATTGGTGGGGTACAACGAACGTGGATGAAATCGAGAGTAAAATATATGATTATTACGATAGTTTAGATTATGGGCGAGTCGTTTATTCCCGTTACTCAATGGTTCCAATTGAAATCGAATATAATACTTCCATAGAGAATGATACCACAACAACAACCATTACATATACTAATGGAAGTAATTTAACACCTTCATGGGATCTTCGTAGCTGTTCCCGCTCAATATATTATTGCGTTAACTTCATTGTTTTCTTTTGTGCATTTCTCTTTTTCTTCATTCTTTTTTAATAGATTTATATAAAATTTCTCTCTTTTTCAAAATAAACTTGTCTCTCTCTTATATGTTAAAACTGTTGCGAAGTTTTCAAATTGAACAATCACCAACAAATCGAAGATACACTATCTATTCAGATTAACATCATCAAACATGAGCTCGAGATCAGTAGATGTATTATCAAACGATCAAATAAATAGAGGTAAGTAGAAATACATGCAGCAACGAGAAAAGAGTCATCAATCAAATGATTTCATTTCAAGTATTGCAATATTGTTTACTTTTCCACGGGGATTTGTAAAGCTTCTAATACCGTCGGCACCATCACGTAAAAACTTCCTGTTAACACTAATTCTAAATATTCTGCTTCACTAAAATATTTTTTCAGTTTTTCATCTAATTCATTACTAACTTTTCCTCTATTTTGTACTAATAATTCCATTAACTCTATTGCTACTTTTTCTTTTTCATCAAATAGATCATTTGTTTTCCAATTGTTCACTTAGTGAATTTTTTCTTGTGACATTCCACATTGTTTTGCCATACGTTCATGTTGAAACCATTCATATTCAGATTGACAAAGTTATGCACCATGAAGGATCATCAATCCTCAAAGTTGTCGAGATGTTGTACAATCGCGTCGAATTGAATAAGCAAAATCAATCCAAGATGAAAGTCGAATTGGATTATTCGATACAATTCTATAAAGATTAAGATTTGGATTACCATTTAAATTCACAATTTTTTCTTGAAGTTCGACCAGTACATCCTTTAATGGTAATCTTGGTTGACCAGAAGAATTTTCTTCCAACATCAAATTTACTTGAGAATCTAAATGATGAAAAGAAAAAAAACACACACATAACTACTCAAGAGAGATAAAGCTATTCGGGCATTTCCAACCATTCTCTGTCATTCCCATTCATTCGCATCCAATCCCATCGATTCCGAGCCATTCCCGGCCATTCCGAGCCATCCGGAATGCTCGAATAGAGATTTTTCCCCCTTGGAATATCCACATACATGTATAAAAATTTGAGTTTGACAATATTGATAAAAAAATAATACATAAAGAAATTGATTTTAATAATATAAAAGATTGATATGAATCGTTGTGTTGTTAATGATGCCAAATAGTATCAATATAAATAGTTGATTTTCGTATTAACAAATTAGATAAAAATAAAAAGTTAATGTTTATAATATTTATTGGGATTGATATGAATTTTCGATTTTAATGATATCTAATAGAATTAATATATAATGTTTGTTTATTAAAACTAAACGTTGAATTTCATTGAAATTATTTTTTTCTTATTTAATGTATTAAAATAAGCATATATGATATGTTTGATTTGTTAGTTGAGTATTTTTACAATTTTAATGAGGATAATGAAGAAAGGGATGTAATCTAATGAATCGGTTGATTGAAAACAATACTTGTATGAATAATATAAGTTTTTGGTTAAATATTTATATAATAATGTTTTTCTTTAATAAAATATAAAAAAGTGTCATGTTAAGAAAGTTGTCGGTTTGTTTGATTGTTATTACCGACATTGACCATTTGACCGTATATACGTTCTCTTATGTATTGATATATGACTTTGATGTTTTTTCTTTTTCTTTTTCACTGATTATATAAATGCAATGAATGATTTTATATTGTCATTCCTGATGATGCGTTCAGTCCGAACACGAAAGCTCGAATCCCTATCTTTTATTTCTGATTGAAATAAGATTTTCTAATGATTTTCACAGCAGTTCTCTCTTTCTTTTCTTATCTTTTACCTACTGCTCTCTCTCCTAAATTTATTTCTAATCTACGTTTGAAATATGGCGAATCGATTTTGGTAAGTATACGACATTGTGAAAAATTAAGTGAGAAATTACAAGAAGCAAAATGCGATATTGAATTTCTTAGATGTTGTTTAATATATAATGTAACACCTAATTTTCTTAATATACGTTTATGGAAGCCAGGTTTAAGAACATCAGAAAAATATAAGTCTTTTCAACGACATTGTCTTATTCGTGAATTTGAATCTAGACAGAAACAATCGAGAAATCTAGAAAAACAAATATCATCAATCTTAATAGAATTAGAAAAACGTCTTTCGAGTTTAGATTATATTAATGTAAAGAAATTTTGTTATAATTCAGCAAGTAAAATCCATAGTGAAGTAATGATAAATCATAAAAAGAAATTAGAAACATTAAATGGAGGCCCGATTGGACAAAATTACGAGGAAATGAAACATAAATTAATTCATAACATGTCATCATATACACTTTCAGAAGTAGAAGAAAGATTATTATGTTGTGGTTGGGATTTTTGTATAGAGAATAAGATTAAGAATTTCTTGGATTTTGAAACAGATTTAGAACTAAATGCTATGAAATTACAGTCTCATTGCCATGATTCAGTTTTTCGTCTAATGTCGGCGCCAGAATTAAAGAGGGGTTCGTGTAAATTGAATAACTCAACAATGGCAAGAGCTAGCGACCTGCGGTTTTCACCAATCGAAAGAGGAGGAGCGGGGACGTCTTTTTCTCTCATAATGTATAAGACGAAATCCTTTTAAAACTAATCATATTTGAAAAAGCTGTTAGCGCAATCCCTTGCGGGATTAAAAATGTGAAACACGATGAATCTGTTGTTACTAATTAAATAGAAATCCTTTTGTTCCGTTCCTTTGCGACACATTTGTAGTTAACCGTTTATCTGATCCTTTACAACTACAGCTTCTCTGTCACGGTCTGTGATGGGTACCCTGGATTCTCTGTCACGGTCTGTGATGAGTACCCTGGATTCTCTGTCACGGTCTGTGATGGGTACCAGGGTTCTCTGTCACAGTCTGTGATGGGTTCCCAGGATTCTCTGTCACAGTCTGTGATGGGTACCAGGGTTCTCTGTCATGGTCTGTGATGGATACCAGGGTTCTCTGTCACGGTCTGTGATGGGTCCCCGCGATTCTCTGTCACGGTCTGTGATGGGTACCCGAGTTCTCTGTCACGGTCTGTGATGAGTATGGATTTTCTCTGTCACGGTCTGTGGGGGGGGGGGGGGGGAGTGGGTCTAAATTTCTACCCCTAAACACTTCAACACTCCTTTCAGATCGCGGTTCACAAAACATGCAAAAGAACCCATGAAAATGACCTGCCAGCTAGATGAAATTTTGATTTTGAGCTTTGATTAAGATAGAGGGACTTCAGATCTATAGTTCAAGATACAATGCAAATGGTTATCTTATTACATTCTAACGCTGAGCAAATGGAATCATGCACTTACATACGCAAATAAGAGGGAATTTTGTTGATTTTTTCCTAAGTTTTCGCACTTTTTATCCTAGTAGCTTGAGATTTCGATGAAAATGTAAGAAAAAGTAAGAAAGCGCATTGTGTCTTGCACTATAGATCTGAAGTCCCTCTATCTAAATCAAAGCTCAAAATCAAAATTCCATCTAGCTGGCAGGTCATTTTCATGGATTCTTTTGCATGTTTTTCAAATATGATTAGTTTTAAAAGGATTTCGTCTTATACATTATGAGAGAAAAAGACGTCCCCACTCCTCCTCTTTCGATTGGTGAAAACCGCAGGTTGCTAGCTCTTGCCGTTGTTGAGTTATTCAATTTATACCAGCCCTTATTTAATTCTGACGCTGACATTAGTTTGTCATCAGATACAGAATGCTTCGCAACAACTCATGAGAACATCTAAACATAAAAAAATAAATAATCTATCAGATGAAGAATTAGCTGCATTAAAATCATTAAAATCGAATAATAATATAGTCATATGTAAGGCAGATAAAGGTAACAGCAGAGTCATATTAGATTGAGAAGCATACATGAAAAAAGCAGAAGATATTTTAAAAGGAGAACAATTTGAGCAATTAAATAGTGATAAGTTTCATCTTGAACGAGAAGAAGAATTAAATAAATATATTTTATCATTGTATAATGATAATGTAATAGATACTAAACTTCGTCATCAATTAAAATCAAAATGTTCCTCTATTTCAGTCTTTTATGGACTTCCTAAAGCACATAAAACAGGATATCCTCTACGACCAATAATATCAACTATAGGAAGTTATCAATATCAACTATCGAAATACTTAGCTAAAGCTATTAGGGATGCTCGTCTACAGGCTCCATCATATGTCAAAGATTCATTTGAGTTCGTAAAAAAGATCAAAGAAATAGTACTCGAGTAAGATAAAACATATATAAAATGTAGTTTTGATGTAGAAAGTCTATATACGAATGTACCAGTCAATGAAGCAATAGAAATAACACTAGATTATATGTATAAACCTAGAAAATTAATAGATGTACCTTTCAATAGAGATCAAATGAAAACTCTTTTAAATTTATCAATAACAGACGCACCTTTTCGATTCCATAATAAGATATATAAACAGATAGACGGAGTAGCTATGGGTAATCCCTTAGCACCTATAATAGCCGATTTATGGATGCAGAAAATGGAAAAAAAACTAAATAGATTTCGTACGAATAGATCCATAGTTTGGTTAAGATACGTAGATGATATTTTTTGTTTATTCACCATCTCAGAAACAAAAATTAAAGTTTTTCACTCACGCATAAATAAATGGCATGATAATTTGAAATTTTCTCTTGAACCTGAGTCGAATAATTCCATCTCATTTCTTGATGTTCGAGTAACTCAAGACGAAGAAGATAAACTAACAGCATCATTGTATCGTAAACCAACACATACAGGATTATACATGCTCTGGGACAGTAATCAAAATCGTCGCTATAAGTTAGATCTAATAAAAACATTAGTAATACGTATCCATAGAATTTGTTCGAAACAATCAATAATAAAAGATGAATTAAATTTGTTAAGAAAAACATTAACTGACAATGGATATCCGCCACATATAATTCGAAGAGGAATAGCTGAAAGAGAAGTACTCATTAGGAGAATGGGTCAAAATCAAACAAATACGAATAATAATAATAAGACCATCTTTTTTACGATGAAATACTATGGACAAGAGTCAGTAATTTTGCGTCTGAAATTAAGAAATATTGTCTAAAATTAATTCCTAATTTGAATATCCAATTTGCGTTTAAGAAAAACACGAGTTTAAAAAATGTCTTTTTACCTATACTTAAAGGAACAGATGGAAATAAAAAGAATAAGAACTTAGTATATTCCATCCCGAGTTTAGATTGTAATAAAGTTTATATAGGTGAAACTAGTCGCGCGAAAGAAACTCGAATGAAAGAACATAAAGCGAATATTAGGACCCTATCAACAAAATCTAAATTAGTAGAACATATTCTAATACATAAACATCAATTTGACTTGATGAACACCAAAACACTAGCGTTAGAAAGCGATTGGAGAAAACGAGTCATCAAAGAAAATATATTAACTAGTAGAACTTTAGGGAAATCGATAAACGAAGTAAAACATACCATTCAAGTAGCCATATAAATAACCTCAATAACTACAAATAAAACAAGAATAATAATAACATATAAAAAAAAAAAAACTTATAAACATAGATCAGTCATATTCATTCAATCTGTCTTGCCCCTCTTACTTATAATTTCTAAAGATAATGTCGAATGCGTGTATTTGATTTGGTTTTATGTTGTGAGAGGTGCTCCACCTTGACACCAAAGTCGACACCCTCCAAATAGATACAAATAAGTTATCAACATTAATCATTGGTAATGTCATTTGCTTGCGACAATCTCACCTTTCTTATTTGCGTTTTCTCAGATATATCGAATGGAATTTCATTTATTTTTCATCAGTCTTACCATTCGTACTTATATTTTCTTAAGCAATATCTAATTTGCAGACTTATTCTGGTTTATGTTTTGAGAAGTGCTCCATCTTAACATCAGAGTCGACACCCTCCACATGGGTGAAGGTGAGTTATTAACATTAATCATTAGTAATGTCGATTGTTTTCAGCGACCTTACCTTTCTTATTTATATTTTCTCAAATGATATTGAGTGGAGTTTCATTTATTTTCATCAATCCTACCTTTCGTATTTATATTTTCTTAAACAATATCTAATTTACGGACTTGTTCTCGTTTATGTTGTGAGAAGAGTTCCACCTTAGCACCAGGGTTGACACTCTCCACATAAATACAAATGAGTGATTAGCATTAATCATTAGTAATGTCGATTGTTTTCAGCAACCTTACCATTCTTATTTATATTTTCTCAAATGATATTAATCATTACTAATTTCATTTATTTTTATCAATCTTACTTTTCTTACTTATGTTTCTCAAAATAATATCGAGTAGAATTTCATTTATTTTCATCAATCCTACCTTTCATATTTATGTTTTTATATTTATATTTTCTCAAACAATATCTAGTATACAGACTTATTCTGGTTTATGTTGTGAGAAGTGCTCCACCTTAACACCAGGGTTGACACCCTTCACATAAAATACAAATGAGTTATTAGCATTGGTCATTGCTAATTTCATTTATTTTTATCAATCTTACTTTTCTTATTTATGTTTCTCAAATAATATCGAGTAGAATTTCATTTATTCTCATTAATCCTACCTTTCGTATTTATATTTCGTATTTACATTTTCTCAAACAAGATCTAGTATAATTTCATTTATTTCATCAATGTTACCTTTCATATTTGTATTCTCTTGAATATTATCTGGTATAATTTCATTTATCTATTTGTATTTGCTCGAATGATATCTACTACAATTTCATTTATTTTCATCAATCTTACATTTCTTATTTATATTGTCTCGAACAATTGTCTCGAACAGTGTCCAATAAAAACTTGCTCTAGTTTATTGTTGTGGGAAATGTTCCATCTTACATAGGAAGAATAATAATTACAATAAAAGCAACATCACAAACAACAAAATTTCATAATGTCATTCCTGATGATGTGTTCAGTCCGAACACGAAAGCTCGAATCCCTATCTTTTATTTCTGATTGAAATAAGATTTTCTAATAATTTTCACAGCAGTTCTCTCTTTCTTTTCTTATCTCATGTAATGTGTTGGAAGTCACATTTTGAAAAGATATTGATCAACGATTTATGTTTCGAGGAAATGATTTATTTGTTTTATACAATCTTATTTTAAGTGCCTTCACATAAGTATAGTAGCGTCTCTTTTTTTGGCTACATGGCGAGCAATGAATACACGCATTACTCCTCTACAGGGTTTACTTTTGACTGATTGTTTCATAATTCTGATTAACATCCGCTCGTCAAGCTAAATTAAGAATGTCACTTTTTCACTGCGTAGATCTTTATATTTTGAATGAAATTGCATGACTGAAGAAAATAAGACACAAAGTAGATTGAAATTTTAGGTTTGATATAAAAAAGCTGTTAGCGCAATCCCTTGCGGGATTAAAAATGTGAAACACG